AGAAGCTTGAAAACGTCTTCCAATGCAGCGGTGAAGAGTTTCGGGGATATAACATCACCCTGTCTTACACCTCTCTGCAATTGGATAGGTTTCGTACTCTGGTTCTGTACTCGGATAGCCATCGTAGCTCTACTGTACAAACATTTCAGCACTTCGATATACCGACAGTCAACTTGGCGACGCTGAAGGGACTGCAGCACCGCCCAAATTTCGACGGCTCAGAAGGGAAATCGGTCTGTAGTTCTTCAAGAGAGCGTTGTCACCTTTCTTGAAGAACAAGACCACCGCACTTCTGCTCCACGTCTCCAGTGTAATGCCACCATGGAGGACGGAATTAAAGAGCTTCTGAAGGACTTCAAGTACCGGTCTTCCACCCGCTTTCAGAAGCTCCGCTGTAATTCCATCCTTGCCTGGGGCCCTGCCGTTTTTAAGGTGCTGGAGAGCCATTCTAATCTCGCTCAGACTGACGTCCGGGATATCTTCGGAATAGTGTCGGATAAGACTCGCTCCTGGATCGTTACTCGAACTTGCGTGTGGCTACAACGATGACGTATACAGCTGCCCATAGAACCTCTCAATCTCACTCAAAATCTCAGGTGTCCCGGAAACGATGCTGCCACATTCGGTGTTCAGCTTTGACAGTTGGCTCTTTCTGGCAGACAGATCTCTGGCAAAAACTTTGGAGCCTTGGTTCCGCTCGATCACTTCTTCAATACAAGCTGTATTGAAGTTGCGTAAGTCCCGCCGCATGCATTTGGAGATACAGATCTCAAGCAACTGAACAGATAGCTGTTCAGTTGCCTGTATGCTGTCAAATCTGTTGAAGAATGTAGCTTCATCTCCCGTCTAACAGCCATGAGATTGAGAGTGTGATCGGAGAGTTTTTGTGTTCTCCTGCGGCGGGTCTTGCAGAACTTAGCTCCGACTGCATGGACTGTTTCCACGAGCTTGTCATTCATATCGTTCACTCCATTGCAGTCTTCTAGGTACTGAAAACGGTTTTGTAACTCGAGCTGAAAGGTTTCGGGACTTTGGAACAGAGCACGAGGGGGACGGAGCATTGACTTCATTAGGCGACAACTTAACGTTAGGTTCAGTGTGCCTCTAACCATTCGGTGATCGCTACTAGTTTTCACCCTCGCGATCATGGAGACATCACTGAACAGTTGTCGTCTGGTCGTCATAATGAAGTCAATCTCATCCCTTGTGGAACCGTCGGGGCTCGACCAGGTCCACTTCCTGTGGGGCCGCTTCTAGATGAAAGAGTTCATCATAAAGAGTCCCTCTTTCTCCATGAAGTCGGCCAGCTGCTGGCCCCTTGGGTTCCGTTGCCTATTTCGAATTTCCCTACTTTCAGCTCACCGTTCTCTCTTGTGCCTAGTTTTGCATTGAAGTCTTCCATTAACACGTATAGTGGGTTTTGGAGGAATGCATGGCTCTAGAGATATCCTCATACATTTCCTCCACCTCCCCATCGGGGTGTGCCGAGGTTGGTGCGTAAACCTGTATAACCTTCAGCGAATACCGTTTGGTGATTCTGAGTATAAGGTACGCAACCCTCGTCGACACACTCTCAATCTTTACAACGTTGTTAACGAGAGACTTGTGGACGATAAATCCGACACCTCCTTGGGACAGATGGTCGCCCTCCCGGTGATAGAACAAATTGCCGGATTCGAGGATTACCGTGTCCTCCCCCTCTCTTCGGACTTCGGATAATCCTATAATATGCCAGCGTTACTTATCTATCTCTTCTTCCGTGAAGCTGGATCTTCTAGTTAGTCCTCAGGGTGCGTGCGTTACAACTCGACCTGGCAACATAGCCAAGTCGAGTTGTCTTAGGTGGTAACCGAACCCCAACGGAGATTCTTAGCACCCACTGCCCCGCCGTTACCATGGTCGCCACCGTAGCCAGGAATAGCGGGGCCGCCGGGGACTGGGGGCCGTCTATTATTGTCATTGCTCATGGGGGGCATATTGCCATAGTTGCCACGCTTGGCGAGCGGGTTGGCAACCGCAGTTTTTTTATTAAAATTTTTGCTGTTATCAGGAAGATGCTGCTGCCCATCTCCTGCCTGTTTCCCTTTGTCGCCTTTTACGACACCCACGGGAAGATATGGGGTAGTGGATATTCTTAACCGCCACTACACGGCAAATTATGACATACTTTAATATAACCTACTCGCCGTTTATAAATCTGGGTTTCGTCTGGGACACAGTACTACTATAGCATTACATCAGACAAGGGATGCAAAAAAAGGAAATTACTGTAATGGTGCTTGTTGAATTTTTTAATGTGTTTTACTCTGTCAACCACGATATCCTTCGCCAAACCGGCAATCTTTTTTTTTAAATGTTACCCCCACACTAGGATTTTCTCCTGTATCGTGGAGGCAGTTTACAAATATATATTGCACAAGGACAAACATCCAGACCCGGAACAATTATTTGTAGGCCATACAAATACTTGTTCCGTGCGGGATCGAACCCGCGGCCCCAAGCGTTGCAACTCATTGCAAAGCCACTATGTCACGGAGCCGTATCTTGGATTGGTTCTCTTTATATCTTAGCCAGCAGTTCTTCCATATGCGACAAAAGAGTTCTCATTGGGTTAGTATTGATATTGGTGTCCCGCATGACTGTATACTTTCTCCGTAAATTTTTAAATTTTTATACTTACAATATTACCATGTATATGCTGACGATCTCAAAATTTACTTGCAATCAAATATTGAAGGGCTCCATGTTTCTATTGGAATATTAAATAAGAACTTAGAAGTCATAAAATATTGATTTAGTCGTTTTGGAGTATCTGTTAATTCAACGAAGTATCAAGCTATTCTCGTATTACGAGCTCTATATAGTTGTTTAAAATTGATTTGGCAAGCCTATCTGATGTCTATTACAATGATATACTGATACCTCTGTCTCTATAAAAATGTCTTGGGTCTTGGCCTATATATGGACAACTCAATAAACTGAACTACGCATGTCACTGTAATTAGCCGCAAAGTATTTGATACCTTACTTCTTTTTAATACTAATAATAATACCCACTATTGTTATGTAGATGTATGCTACCCAGACATGAACCAAACTGTTCTTAACAAGCTAAAGCGAGTTCTCAATAATTGTATTGCCCTTTGTAAATATGATCACATCTCTCAGTATCGTAATTGCCTGAAATGGCTCATTATACGGCAAAGATGAAACTAGAATTCTGCTTGCTTTTAAATAATCCAACTTCTCCAACTTATTTTAAGGGATTTTTTATAGAATAAGGGTAAACATAGTCCACCTGATGGTAAGTGGATGCTGTGGTTCATATACATCTATCTACTTTCGATTAAGAATCAAAATGCTGATGTGTTGTTACATCTGAAGACCAAAGTGGAATGCCTTGTTTCCAGTAAAAAGTACTATTATTTGAAACAAAGTGTTGTTGGACGATATGAATGATGATGATGTGTATTTTATGTATCTCTGTATTTGTGCAATGAATATGTATAATATATATTTAACATATTTTTATATTAACATACATTATATGTATTGAAAGTGTATAATCGCATTAAGTATGTATGTACATGCACCTGCCACAATAATTCATCACGCCACGGGTTGGCAGACAGAAAATGCTGTCAGGCATTAGGTCCGCCCATTGATAGCTTATTTATAAAGTAGATAACAAAAAAGTTTAAATGACAAAATAAAACACGCATTTATTCCCTCTGATATTAAGTGTTTAATTGAGTATATGACACGACCGTCGTTCGTAAGCTATATCACTAAGGGGCGATTTTTCGATCCCCATAAACCGACAAATAGCGTTTATTCTATAGATAGTAAATAAATGAATTTTTCAATTGTCAGATTGGCTTTATTCGACGAATAACTTGACTACCGGAGGAATAACTTTATCTGTCCCTTTGACGACGAGATATCCGCTTATTCGATAGACAATTTTATTCGATGAAAAAAGATGAGATGCTAAACACATTTCACTTTTACGTGATGTTTATTTATTTTGCAATGTTTACAAGGTAAAACGTTAATAGAACTCAAAGCTATAATAGGTATTTTAATTTTTATTCGCACTTTACTAGACCTTTTAACCGAATGCAAACGGATGAACCATGTTTTAGCCATGGATAAATTGAATGCACCGCGCAATTCGCTGCACCTGGTTGTAGCTGACTAAACCCAAGTGTAATTGCACTTTAGCTTATAGCCGTGACATATATACTTTTTAAATATCATTGTTTGTGCAAGATTCATTTTCATAACTATGGTCACCGCTTGCATGGTTTTAAATTAATGCAGATAGAAGGGCTTATAAATGGAGCGAGGAATTTCACGCCCGAATGGTGCCCGTAAGGCTACCATATTACGTTCGCTTCACCGCCTTTAACTCGCCCTTCTATGCTCACATATCATTGACATGCATATTACTCGTATGCCATTACAACTACTATAATACTTTACACTAGCTCACAATATCAAACTCGTAAAACGTTACTTAAAAGATAATGAAAGTATTAACTTTAGAATATTTATTTGTGTAATTTGTTTAGTATAAAAAGTTATTATTTAGAAAAAGATAGTAACAAACAAACTAAAGCTCCGCTTGAAATGCAACAAAATTCATGAAAGGTTGAAGATGTGCTCTCTGTAGAGTGTAGACTAAGGTGCTTATGATTTACAACTTGTGACTGTGGTTCGCTTTAACCTTAAATATAGTTTTGAAAATATTTTGTAAGACTAAAAAAAATAAAATTTGTTATAGTTAGTATTAAAGTATACCAATAAAGATACTTCGAAACAGTAGACATCTTTTGATAAAATTATATCTTGAGGAAAATGATAAAGGTCGTTTTCGGTAATAAATTATAAGGTTTTCTTCATAAATTTATATATGTAATTATTATATCATGACACAGGAACGAAAAGAACATTAATGTTTTGCCGTATTTTGAATATAAAAATTTATTGTATCTTACATGTCGGACGTGAGTGCAGACACCTGCGACACACCGCTGAGCATGAGGACGAAAGCCACGGTGCGTGCCACCACGCATGACCAACCCATATTAGGACATCTGAAAAATAAAAAAATAAACAATTTACGATTTTAGAACTACATTTAAACTCGTGACAAGGTTCTTGCTAATCCATGTTTAATTAAATATTCTAAGTGTTTGTAGCACATAAGATTCCTTAATTAAATTTTGTCGAGTCATATTTAAACAAAAGAAGCTTTCAAAAAGGAAGTACCTATGTTGTTTGAATAATGTCTATTGTTTTGTATATTATCATATTGGGAAACCAGCGTAAAATAGCAGCTTAACGCTGCTGTGTTTCGTATGGTGAGTGTAGAGAACCGGAGACCCTTTTTACTGGCAAAGAGGCATTCCATCTTAGTCCTCACGGTTGACAACGCATCTGCATCTTGAGTCTTTATTGAGGATAGTTGTAGATGTCTATGGGTCACAGTAACCACTTATCATCAGGTGGACTGTGTGCTCGTTTGTCACCCGATGCTATAAAAAAAATGGTCTGCCTTGGAGTCGAATTAACGTAAAATTATTATTTGTATAGCATATTAAGCTATTACTATTATCGGTGGTTTAGGAAAGTATAATGTTTGTTGCCCGTTTTGTTCGGTTTCTTTCCGTCCATTAATTACATAATGATGTGTTTAGGGGAGGAGGGACAAAATTGGGTTAAATTAAGTAAAATATGACTAAATCCTACACAATAATATTTATCGCGGTAATGCGAACTCCATAAATTGTAAAAAATAATTAAGCAAATTGTGTTTTTTTTTTAAATAAACCCAACGCGATCAAACACAGATTAACGTATTTACACTAAAAATACGCATTTTGTAAAATATATGAGATTTGGGGTGAGGGGGTCAAGGGATCAAGCCAGGAGGAGGGGGAGGGGCGGAAAATCACCAGAATCGCCTCACGTAATTAATGGTCTCCCCCTTTCCACTGTATCAAAATATTTATTCTTAATTTTTTTTCTAATATTGAAATTGAAATTTACAAAATGCTGAATAGAATTTAGCATTACTTCTGTATGATGGCCGTCTTGTACATTAATTAATCCTTGAGGCGGTCATCTTGAATCAGTCACGTAAAAGCAAATTGTAATTTTATACGTGGTAGAGCCATGCATGCAGCATTAGAAGTATAGTTGTATCACGAATGGGTTGGCTCAGCCGGGGAGGGACCACGCTCTCACAGTATACCAGCGTAAAATAGCAGCTTAACACTGCTGTGTTTCGTATGGTGAGTGTAGAGAACCGAAGACCCTTTTTAGTGGAAAAGAGGCATTCCATCTTAGTCCTCACGGGTGACAAGGCATTTGCAGTTTGATTCTTTTTGGAGGATAGATGTAGATGTCTATGTGTCACAGCAACAAGTTTTGACAAGTTCCAGTGCAGATCTTGAATCACTGTATATGTAAGTACTTTGGTAATTCTGTGCTTTTTGAATATATGTAGCTTGATGCATTGCGTACAGTTCAGTCTGAAAGACAGTTACAATCAGGTGGGCTGTGTGCTCGTTTGTCACCCTATCCTATAAAAAAAATTGTTTCTTGTCACTACAAAAACCAGACGTAATGGTTTATAAAATAATATTTGCTGCATTTAATTCCATATGAAATGACCTGATAGTGGTAAAAAAGTAGTTAAGCACAAAATAGTAGTAAGTAGTTAAGTCAAGTAAAGCAAGGACAGAATATTCGTTTCATTGCTGGACACAGGCCATGAAAATTGCTCCATAACCCACTCATTTTAGATTTCACATTACAGCTAAAAAAACTGAAAGTAAAAATTTACAGAAATGCGTTTTTGATGCGACTCTGTTAATTAAGTTGAAATTTATATATCACAAATATTCAAATTTATTTGTACTCTTAGTAGCGCTTCTTTAATTCTTTTTGGAATTGTTTAGTTTTGTGCCTTTTCATGAAGCATAGCAGAATCCATCACTACATTTCGTCCCATGGATTTCGTAAGCGGCGACTAGGGGTAATGCCATAAACATCTTATTAGCTTCCAATATGATGGTGATAAACCATATTGTTTAGGCGAGGCGTAAAACAAAAAGACCGGCGACAGGCTGCAGTGTCAAAGGTGCGAGACCGGGTTAGGACCACGCTCTCACGGAATTCTTCTTCTTCTGGTGCTTCTCCGACTAGGAAAGCAGCCAGTTTAGTGAACTCTGCTCTATTCTTTGCGGATTTCGCAATTTCCGTCCAATCCTGGATTTTATATAACCTTCTCACGGAATACCAGCGTAAAGCCGCGTCTCCACCAAAGTTTTGTTGCCAACATAACAGTTGGAAACAAAACTTGAAACAATGTCGGGAACTTTTCGGCAGCAACATCAAAGGAATACGCTTGTTGCAAACATTTGTTCCCTCGGTGGAGACGCTTGTTGGAAACATAACTGTCGTCAACATTTTTGGTGGATGCGCGGCTTAAAATAGCAGCTTAATGCTGCAGTGTTACTTAAGGTGAGTGCAGAGAACCGGAGACTTTTTTTTTCCGACTGCTCCAGAAGGAGGTTAATGTTTTTCAAGTGTACGTGTGTTTACACACTGTAACCTAAACGGCTAGATGGATTGAAGCATATGGAGTATAGTTAGATTAGTCTTGGTTACGGAAGCAACATGGGATATAAACATTTTCTCTTTCATTCTTAATCGAGGATAGATGTAGGTCGTGTCTATGGGTCACAGCATCTACTCACATTCCGGTGGAGTGTGTGCACGTTCGACGTCGTTATATATGCAAAAATATCTACTTAATATTCTGTCAGAGGAACTTTTCAAAACGTTAGTAGATTTTGAATTGACAATTGATAACTAAAATTTTCTTTTCTAATGTCCAAGGAATAATATATTTCATTTCATGAACATATTTATCTCAACCTCGTTATTATATACTTATGACGCATAAACTAGATTTTTGCTTACATCACAGTTATAATCCAGAAAATATAATATTCTGGTCAGGTTGTCTATCGAAACATTCAATATCCGCAGTAGGGTAGAGGGCTGTGAAAGGCTTATTGTTAAAAGAAACTTGGTAAATATAATGTTTATTGTAGAATAAACATAGAATTGGTTTCGATTCTGTTCTTTTGAGATTAAATTATGCTGTACTTCATACAGCATAATTTAATCTCAAAAGAATATGAAGATAGAATACAAATATTTTTGATGCCATCCATTATCTATTTTCGTCTGAAGTTAAACGCATCTTTGAGGTTCTTCAAATATTCTACACCGGGGCATATTTAGTTACTTTTTTCTATTCAATGTAGCAGTTCGATTCACTCGGAAAATACATAACCTTTCTTCAGACTTTACAATTTTTTTTTCACAAATATTTTATTTTAGTATTTGAAAGCTTGACGCTAATTACAATGTTAATTTTAATGCAAGTAATTATTAAAATAAACGAAATTATAGAAGTGCTTTCAGATATTTAAAATTATTACTAATCATAGTTACAACATAGTTTACAGTATATTAATAAAAAAAAAATTAGCAAACTAAACACAAATTAGATATTCATAAATTCACCTATTAGACTGAACAGTGTGGAGTTAAAAAGAGTCAAACAGTTTTAAATATCTCGGGCATATCATGACCCCTGATCTGAGGGACGATGCGGACATCGATAGGGAGCGGAGGGCGTTGTCTGTAAGGGCCAATATGATCGCCCGCAGGTTTGCTCGTTGCTCGAGCGCCGTCAAAATAACTCTTTTCAGAGCATTTTGTACGTCCCTGTACACGGCCAGCCTGTGGGTGTCATATACCCAAAAGCAGTACAGCGCACTCCGTGTGCAATATAATAATGTGTTCAGGGTGCTGTTGGGGCTGCCTGGGCACTGCAGCGCGTCAGGGATGTTCGTCGACGCCCGTGTCGACTGTTTCTACGATGCGAAAGCGGTGCACATCTCTGGGGCGCAGGCTCTGGACCGCATCCAACACCATCTTGAGCGTATTTGCGAACAGGTTTGATTGTCAGTACATTAATCATTGTTATATGATTAGTGTAAGGACAAACAAACAAATGACTCAGATGCAGTCTTATTATTGATTTTTATATTTAATGATGTTAATTTGGTTTTAATGGTTTTAAGTCTGATTAATAATTTTAATTTAATATAAGTAATTCAATTTTATTTTAATTTAATTCATATGTAATTCAAAATTTAAATTTCATTTCAAATGTAACTATGATCTGATGGATTGAAATCAATGATTATTATTATAAAATGTTTCCTTATTTACTAGGCTGTTCAATAAATTTTCAGAATAGGACACTTATCGATGAGTTATGGAAATACGTTTTCGAATCTTTAATTTCATTAGTAGCCAAAGAAAAAATAAAATAAAAATATACCCAATTTTTTTTCAAACTACATTTGGCGGGTAAATGATTCGTATGCAAAATGGAGAAACTCTAACTTCATCCGGTTAATAAATATTTCTGCCCGAATTTGTTTATACAAAATGTGCTTTTGAAGAATTGCGGTCTACTTTAGCAGACAATGCTCCGTATTGTACCTGTAATCCTACAGTGGCATACTGGTGCACTGAATTTAAACGCGGTGAAACCACCTGCAATGACATTCGCTCCGGACGGCCAACAATGGCTACTACGCAAGAAATCGTTAAAAAAATCGAAGAAATTGTTAAAATAAATCGTGTGACCATCCGTTATTTAGCTGTGATTCTAAAGCTTTCGTTTGGGACAAGTTTGTTTATTTTATCTCATATCTTAAAATTCAAAAAGGTGGCCGCGCGCTGCATTCTTTGAATGTTAACAGGCGCCCAAAAGAAAGCAAGAGTTATAAAAAAACATTGTAAAGCTAAATTTAGCAATAATTATAAAATACATACATAATTAATACACATTGTCTTTGCGCTCGTTTCGTAACCGTAGATGAAACGTGGGTACACCATGGGGTGATTTTAACCTAAGGTATAAAATTCGACGGCGACGATGAGGTGATGTGTGCTGCAGAGGCCTTTTTCCTTTTTCGAGTCCTAGGATCA